CTATTTTCTGTTTCTCCGTGGTGTGTGGGAACACTTCTTTAAGGTACATTCCAGTGTCGTTTAACCAAGCTATTGGCGCGACTACCCCTTTTTTCACTGCAATTTTCGCTTTCTTAATCACTTGCAAGAAGGAATCCGCCGAGGTTTATTGTGCACTTTTGCCTGTGGTTTTCGGGATTGTATTGGCTAGTAACAGTGAGCCTTTGTTTAACCTTTTTGGGTTCTTGGTTTGCGTTGGGTCTACTGCTGGTCGTGCTTTAAAGTCTGTAGTTCAAGGAATCTTGTTAACCAGTGAAGCTGAGAAGCTGCATTCCATGAACTTGTTGTTGTACATGGCGCCTATGGCAGCCATGATTTTGTTACCATTTACTCTCTACATTGAAGGGAACGTTGCAAGCATCACGCTTGAGAAAGCTAGGACTGATCCTTTCATTGTTTACTTGTTGGTTGGGAATGCTACGGTGGCCTATTTGGTGAATCTAACAAATTTTTTGGTTACCAAGCATACAAGTGCCCTTACACTGCAGGTTTTGGGCAATGGCAAAGCTGCAGTGGCAGCGTTTGTGTCGGTTATGATCTTCAGGAATCCGGTGACCGTCATGGGGATGGCTGGATTCGGTGTTACAATTACGGGTGTTGTGCTTTACAGTGAGGCAAAGAAAAGATCTAAGGTCACAACACACTGACAAGAAGTTGAAAATTTGCCAGGAACATGGGTGGGGCTCTTTTTGTTTCCTTTTCTTTTTAATTCTTCTTTATATTTTCTTGCTTTTATTTGGATTTAATGCAAGGAAAGAATAAAAAAAGCGAATTTGGACAAAAGAAAATAGTGATTGGATTGTATAGGAACAATGGAGGGAAAGATGCTCTCTTTTTTCTTTTGGTATTGGGGTGGTTTAAGAGAACAAAATTCTCTCTTTCACTTTTCCCCTGTTTGTAATCTTATAATATTCATTTGTTGGAGAACAAAGTTCTCCCACTTCTTTATGTTGGATTATTGACATTGTCAGCCTTTGTTTCTGAGTTTGGAACAACTTCATTTGTTGGTAATTCTACTTTGGGGTCCAACCTTCTGAATTGGGTTTAACATAAAAGCATGTTTCTGGTATGATGGAACAGCCAAAGAATGAATTATTGGTGCATTTTCAGGTGTCTTGAGAATATGAATACAACTTTCTTTTGTATACCATTTGAGAGTTTTCATTTTTATTTTTATGACATATGAAGTGGTTTTATCCGATCCAATGAAAATTGGTCAATCGTTTCAAATTCATTTCTCAACATGCTTGTCATTTGCTGCCACTAATAAGGACCATGGTTCAGCCATTGATGTTTGTTACTGCTACAATAAGACTGTGGAGAACTTTGCAAAGTTTGGAATACCAAGTTAATCTTGCAAGCAAGCTAAGTTTTCGATTTGTATGTGTATCAGTTTGGCTTGATTACAGAGTTCTAAGTCTTGCTTAAGTTTGATCCTATAGTCTTAGCTTTTATTGCATCACTAGGACAATGTTTTTTTTTATTATGGTCAAATAAATGTGATTCTTGTTGTACCTCCTCCAGATTCCTTTCAAAAGTTCCATCTTTGTTATTTTTTCTTTTATCAAATCTCAAAGTTCACGGAATTTTTCAAAGTCTTCAGATTTTTGCATCATCCGGTCAATTACAATCACTTTATCACGGGTATAGTCATATGATATATCAACTAAATCTATTATCTGACCGTTAAATATATTTACTATCAACCTACAAATAGTTATCTCACCTTAGATTTGACACCAAAATAAAATAAAAAAATCACCATGCAAGACTAGAGAGGACACTCTTCAAATCTCTCTTATTGTTTATCATCTTCATCACCCAAACTAAAATGAATAAATCACTAAAAAATCACCGCTATCCCATTTTTTCATCAACCATTCCAATAATAGATTATTAGCTTGTTACGAAATTCTCTGGAAGTGGACTGTGAATTTATGAATGGTTGGTTCATCAGTCTCGATGCCGGTTGCCACATATGTGAGTAGTGGTCTAGGCTTTCCAAAATCTCCACTTGGTGTTGGTTGATTGGGATTTCGCAATCAGCAAGTTGCATCAGTGTGGACGTGTAATTAGGGTTGTTGGAACTTTATTCTCCTAGTGGCTTGCTTTAATCTTGTTGCGTTAGTTGAAGGGAAAATTCAGGGTTTGGTGTATACACATTAGAGACCAAGCAATTGACGCCCCAAATTGAACCAAATTTTCCTACTTTGTTGCACCTGCAACACATGCATCCCATGAAACAGTGTGGAATCCTTTATATATGTATATACTGCAACGGAGTATGCGACTAACTTAGCAAGGTTTGCAGCATGTACCTAAGGATTCATCCCACTTTATCATGACTCTTGAATCTGATGATGTAATGACGTTAGCTTTATTATCTTGGGTAAAGTGCACAAATACTCTCCCGATTATAAGGTGGTGTTTTGTTGAGTTTCTTAACTATTAAAAGTTACAAAATGATCCATTAACTATAGGGGTTGTTTTGTTGAGTCCATCGATAATTAAAAGTAAGAAAATGATCACCAGACTATTTATATGTTTCAAACTCGTCCTTTACCGTTAAAAAAATTGGCAACCATCTAAGTTGGATGTTAACCTCTTGATTGGGATATGATAAAAATCTGATCTCATAATCGGTTGAATTGTATTTTGTGGATTGACTCTATGATTTGCATTATGTTGTTAAGTTAGTGCTTGAAGCATTATATCGTCGAGCCAATGCTTGAAAGCAACGCCAGTGTCAGTATCATTAAAATGTGACTTTATCATATCTCAGTCCGCAGGTTAACGTCCAATTCTGATGACCATCAATTTTTCAACGAAAAAAGACGATTTTGAACATATGAATAGTCAGATGATAATTTGTAACTTTTAATAGTCAGGAGACTCAACAAACAACATCATATAATTAAAGAATCATTTTATAACTTTTAATAATCGAGACTCAATAAAACAATACGTTATAATCGAAAACCATTCGTATATTTTACGTATTATCTTTTGAGACCCGCTTTCATTTTTACCTAGAAAGGTATGTAGAGGTTTATAAGCCTAAACTGAAATAACAAAAGCTACATGTGCACTTGTTCATAGGCCTGCCCATGTCTGATGTTAACATATTTTTAGATTTTTCAAAGTCTTATCCTTCTCCACATGTAGGCACATGAACAAGACATGTGCATTAATAAAACCAAAGGATCAGAAACTCATGATGCATATATCAAGTTTGAAAAATAGTTGGCGACATCAAACTCCTTCACCTTTAATCGGTAATATCCAGATTTTAGATAAATCTTAAAAAATAATGTCACCTTAAAATTGAAGAAAAAATCATCGATACGAGGTAACATATACTTTTTCTTCACAATCAATTTGTTAATCAATGAAAAATTGCAAGGTATTATTTTCATTTTCCATGAACAAGGCTAGAGCTACCTAAGGCGGTACACTCAGTTGTATAAAACTTCGATTTAATAGTTCATGTAGTTGAATCTTTAATTCTTTTAGTTCTTGAAGTGTCATGTGATAAAAGTACATGTAGTTGAATCTTTAAATCTGGATCACTTTGATAGTCAATGTAGCTTCTTGTTTTTAAATATTATTCTACGTTCCGAGCTTATGTTGTGAGAATTATGAGATTAAAAAATCATTCATACATGCTTTCATATAAACTTATCATAATTCTTAATATATAATTTTCTATCGAACTGAATCTATATAAAGACGATAGAGTAAAGATTATAAGATTTATGTATTAGATAATAATGGCCTAGCTCGGAGGGCAAATATTAGTTCGGTTTTAAGAAAAAACTAGAAAAAAATAAAAGAAAAAGTTAAAAAAAAAAAACTTATTTTCAAAATGGGCCAATATGATATATAATACAATAAATCAAACCATAATAAAGTACTTTCTTTTCAAAATGGATCTTCTTCATTACTCCCACGTTCACAGATGATAGGTGTGTGGGAACCTCTCAATTTAGAACACTAGAAATTATCTAAAACCCTAAATAGTGATTTTAACAATCTTAATTATCTCTAAGATAATATCGTCAATTTTTTGTATCTCTTTTTTTAATTGTATGTGTCAGATTTGTGAGAATTGAGATGAAAATCAATATATATATATATATATATATATATTAATGTTAATATTATTAATAATCTATTTTTTTTAAAAATAAAATTTTAATATATTATTTTTTCGAGTTGTTCATGAATTTTTTGAATTCAATATCAAGTAGCACGTTTCGACTTTTAAGAACTCTAGCTGAGCTCGAGTCGAATATTTATTGAACTTTGACTGAGTCGATCTCGAGTAGCCCACGATCTATCTCGTCTCATTTACAATCTTAAATATGACTATCTTAGAATTTATGTAGAACTTTATTTAATTTCTATTTTAATTTTCGTAAGTATATGACAAGTCTACCTTAACAAAACTGTTTATATGACTTTTTTATTTTTTTGAATGATAATATAACATTATATGATGACTCGTCTATGTTACCGTTAAGTTTTTATACCAACTGAAATCTAAACGTGATATTAAAATAAAATAAAGTTTAGGTATGAATCAGAATAAAGGTAATAGTTTTTTCATGGATTGTTTTTTTTTGTTTGTCCGATTAAAACAAAGTAAAATCCACTTGTCTGTTTTCTTCTTCACCTCCCGTGAGCAGCTGAAAACAAACAAAATCTTGTTTATCTTTCATCCACCTTGTTTGGTCCATGAGTTTACCACAAATAACTTTCTTCATATATTTTCTGTCACGAGAAACGTCCAAATTCAACCCCACTTTTCCCCCATAATAAAGCATTGGTTCCCATTTCATCAACCAAATGCCCAACTACCTAAACCAGAATCATGCATCTTTTCAACTTTTCGTGATGTTTTTAAACAGCAAGATACAATATAAAACCCTGTATGAGTTGCTTGTTTTCATTTGCTGAATCTTTGAAGAAAACAAAATGAACAATGGTGCAACTGCGACTCCTCCTCGTAATGCATTTCAGACTCATTTTCTTGATATCCATGAAGTTTTACACGAAGATGAGGAAGAAGAAGGAGGAGGGGTAATAAAAACGGATGATAATCAAGTGGCGGGCAAGAAGGGTTTGCAGAAGCCTATTAAACTGAGAGAATTAAAGAGGCCACAAAGGAATTTTAGTAGGCAAGTTTCATTGGAGACTGGATTTTCAGTTCTGGACACGGAGTCTAAAGCCAAAGATGAAAGGAAGATTCTTCGGAGAAGTGGTCGTAGTTTCGGAGGTTTCGATTCGACAAACAGAGTTAATGGAGAAGCAAGGAAAGGAGACTTCAATATCTTCAGGACCAAGTCGACTCTCAGTAAGCAGAATTCTCTATTGCCTACAAGGAAAGAGAAAGAGATGGAGACCCAAAGACCTGAAGGTGCCACTGGCCTTGACGAGTCTGCCAATAAAAGTGTTCCTGCAGGAAGATACTTCGCTGCTCTTAGAGGCCCCGAATTAGACCAAGTCAAGGTAAGTTAATAATTTAACATTATATATATATGTATATATGCAAATGCCATGAATTTGATATGCATGATGACTCCTTTTTCATTGTTGTGCAGGACTATGAGGATATTCTCCTTCCAAAAGATGAGATATGGCCCTTTCTTCTTCGTTTCCCAATTAATTGCTTTGGTATTTGTCTTGGACTTAGCAGCCAAGCTGTTCTATGGCGTGCACTATCAACTAGCCCTGCAACCAAGTTTCTCCACGTTACACCATTCATCAATCTTTTCATCTGGTTATTATCCCTTGCAGTTCTTGTCTCTGTCTCCATCACCTACATGCTCAAATGCATTCACTACTTCGAAGCTGTTAAAAGAGAATATTTCCATCCTGTCAGAGTCAATTTCTTCTTTGCTCCGTGGGTTGTATGCATGTTCCTCGCCATTGGCATACCACCAGTGCTAGCACCTGCGAAACTGCACCCTGCCGTATGGTGCGCTTTCATGGGACCCTATTTCTTGCTCGAGCTTAAAATTTATGGTCAATGGCTTTCCGGTGGCAAGAGGCGTCTTTGCAAGGTTGCGAATCCGTCGTCCCATCTCTCTGTAGTCGGTAACTTCGTCGGAGCAATCTTAGCATCAAAAGTGGGATGGATGGAACCAGCCAAGTTCTTGTGGTCTATCGGATTCGCACATTATCTCGTGGTGTTTGTGACATTGTATCAAAGATTGCCCACAAGTGAAACTTTGCCTAAAGAGTTACACCCTGTGTACTCCATGTTTATTGCAGCTCCATCAGCTGCTAGCATCGCTTGGGGAAGCATTTATGGTGAGTTTGATGGTTGCTCTAGGACATGCTTTTTCATTGCCTTGTTCCTCTATATTTCACTAGTCGTCAGGATCAACTTCTTCACAGGATTCAGGTCAGCAAGATTCCTAATCAATATCACAAATTCATCATGTCATATAAATTTACCTGATTTTTTTTCAATACTTGTGAAGATTCTCCGTAGCATGGTGGTCATACACCTTCCCGATGACAACAGCGTCGGTAGCGACGATCAAGTACGCCGAACAGGTACCATCTGTTATAAGCAAGGGGCTTGCTCTCTCCCTTTCATTCATGTCATCAGCAATGGTGTCAGTACTATTCGTGTCCACCCTTCTTCACGCATTCGTTTGGAAGACGTTGTTTCCGAACGATCTCGCCATTGCTATAACAAAGCAAAGACCTATCAAGGAGAAGAAGCCCTTCAAAAAGGCTTATGATATAAAACGCTGGACAAAGCAGGCCCTAACCAAGAACAACTCTGGGGAAAAACAATGCAATGGAGAAAATAAAGTAGCTTAATAGCTTCAATCTATAATTTAACAGAAGATAGAAGGCTGCAGTCTTGATGCAAAGGATTTGACCATTGCATCTAAAAATCATCTTTTTTATTGAAATCAATGTATGGAATGTAAACAGTAAAATAGTTCATGGATGATAAATATATTTTATTGAATTCTATATATAATATACTCTTTCATTCCTTAAATATTTTATAGCTTCACTCATACTGTAGCCATGGGCGGGTTTTTAAAGAAACTGAATATATAGTTTGGTAGGGATAAGAGGTAATTGTTCAGGTTTCAAGTCGGATCATGTTAGGTTAGATTAAATCAGATATGGGTTATATTATGTTAATTCAATGGTTCAACTCGGATCAAGTCGGGTCCAAGTCGACTCAAGTTTCTGTTATTTTAGATTGATTTTAATTAGATTTAGTTTGTGTTTGGGTTGGGTTAATTTCAACTCGAATCAATATCAGTTCAGGTCAAAATGCTTCAGGTTTGAATCGGTTAAATATCAGGTTAATTCAGGTTCGGATGGACTTCGGGTCAATTCCTATTCAGATCGGATCACATCATTGATGGAAAAAATTTAGGTCGGGTAATATTAGTTTCGAGTAAACTTCAAGTCAGTCATTTTCGAGTGAATTATTTTATGCCTTTCACGAACGTCTAATTGTAACTTGTAATTGCATAGAGTTTGAAGTAAATTACAAAAAAATATAAATAATTATGGGCTAATTTCATATAAAATATAATTTTAATGACTAAATTGAAAAATCATGAAATTACAAGCTAAAATTTAAATAAATTAAACAAAGTGAATCGATCAAATCGAAACAATTGTAAAATATAAAACTGAAATTAATATCAAAATGAACTAAATTGTATTCATTTGAAAAGGTTGGTGAACAAAAGTTTATGGGGTATGAAGATTATGATATAATTTATAGGGTTTGAAATGAAGTTCATGATGTGGTTTATATGGTTTGGAGTAAATTACAAAAAAATAGAAATGATTATAGGCCAATTTCGAAATAAAAATACAATTTTAAGGAGTAAATTGAACAAACATGAAATTAAAAACCAAAATTTAAATAAATTAAACAACACGTGGATTAAATTGAAACAATTGTAAAATATAAAGTTGAAATTAATATGATAATGGACTAAATTAAATTCATTTGAAAAGTTGGTGAACAAAAGTTTATAGGATTTGGAGATTATGAATTTATGATATAATTTATAGGGTTTAAAGTTTATGATGTAATCTATATGGTTTGGAGTAAATTAAAAAATATAGAAATAATTTTGAGGTAATTTCTATTAAAAATATAATTTTAAGGACTAATAAATACATGATACATGCATTAATAAATCATAAATTATACATACATAAATACAAACATGATACATGCATACATACATGCATTAATAAATTATACATACATAAATTATACATATATACATACATAACTGTGAAGATTTGGTTTTCTTACCTTTATCAATCACAATTATTAATTTGTTAATCTCGGGTTCAGATATGATGCAGGTCGAGTTCGGTTATCACATTATCAAGTTCAATTCGGGTTCATGTTATTTTCAGGTCAAAGTTCAAGCCATGTTCAGATCCAAAATTATTAGGTCCAACTCGGTTCAGGTTAACATCAATTTGGACTCGAATCGATTTCGAATCATCATCACCTCAAGTCACAAGCAAATCTAACTTAAATCGATTTCAGTCAATTTTATAGGCCATGTCAATTTTTTTATATCCCTATAGTTTGCAATTTCGAATAAAAGGTTATTTCATACTGAATAGACCAAGAAGGGTTCACCGTGAGATTATGTGATCATCCAAAATTTTCATATAATATAATTTTTTTTATTGATAACTTATGTTTTTCATATAATTTATAAACTTATTTTTTAAAATTGTATAAATTTGTTCCTAATATAAAATCTCAGTCTCTAATTTCTTAATAAACACTTTTTATTAAGTTATGCAACCGCTTGTTATCCTGAAGAAGTGATATCTTAATTATTAAGTTTTTAAAATTATTTTATATAGATATTAAATTAATTTTAGGGTCGTTTGGACAGGGAAAACAATTTACGAAAAATGTTTTCCCATTTTTGTTGTTTGGTTCGCGTAAAACACCTGGGTCAACGTAAAACGTTTTACGGTCAATGGAAAACTGATCCTTAAACACAATATTTCGACTTACCATTTGGAAAAGGGTAAGTCGTTTTCCAAATTTCTCGCGGCCCTTGCTCCACACAGAACTTTCTTACGTCCCTTGCTCCACACCGACGACTGTTTGGAATCATTCTCACCGGCGAGGCGGGCGGTCTTCTTCTCAGGTATGTCTTGTTTCTTCTTCTCCCTTTTCTTTTTCCTTAATCTCCTTTTCTTGTTTCATCTTTCCCTCATTTTCCATTTTCAATTTCACCGACGATGCAGAAATCAAATATCTGAAAGCTGAAATTGTCTTCTTCGTGTTGCTAAAGGCTACCGGCGGTGCACCGAACAACCTTTCCAAGAGGTTATCTCTCCCTCACTCTTTGAATTGTTTTCTCCGTTTCATTGATTGGGTTTTATTTTTCATTTGCTCGTTTGTACCTTCTTGATTTGTTATGTGGAAGCAATAGATGAAATTGCATAGGAAATATGATAGGTAAAAAGCTTGTTAGATTTTATTACATGAAAACTCTAATTTGATCATCATAAATTTGAGGAATGTAATTAAAGGACGTTTTTGTGAATATAGAATTCGCTCCATCTTTTCGGAAAATTGAATAAATTGATTAATTTCTGGTTGTAATGAACATTGGAGTGAAGCAACTTAATGGTTCTATTGAGATTTGAAGTAACATTTTTTTACAAATTGATTTATTTTTTATGGCATGTATTGGAAACAAGGAGGTAATTCTAATATTATACTGGAGCCATGGTTAGTATTTTACTGTCGAGAAACCTGTAGCAGAATCAGGGGAAGGGTCACTGAATTGCGTCTTTACTACATATACACAGAGAGGACCTGTTTATCACATAGAAATTGAAATTATGGTCAAGGCTCATCATTTATAAAGCAGTCTTAGTAGGTCAATTTCAAATGTCCACTCAACCAAGCGATCTATCTGCCTATAGAAAACATTTTATGGTTATAAGTTGTTTTCTCAAGTTTACATTCCATTCAACAAACTAGGCATGAATATGCTATCTTCCTTGAAGTCATTATACTGGAGAATCGTTAGCCTGCTTATATCAAGCCTAGGTTTCTAGATCTCTGTTAGTTTAATTGATTGGGTTTTATTTTTCATTTGCTCGTTTGTACCTTTTTGATTTGTTTCTGGGCAAGCAATAGATGAAATTGCATAGGAAATATGATAGGCAAAAAGCTTGTTGGATTTTATTACATGAAAACTCTAATTTGATCATCATAAATCTGAGGAAAGAATGCAAAGAACTTCTGCAAGAAGTTAAAGATAACAATCTCTTGAGCCCAGATTTTCAACAATTAATGATGAAAACATGAGTATAAGGTTTTATGATGGGGATAAATAATCCTCTGCTGTCGAGTTTTGTGATAACTTCGTTGCTTCTTTCTCTCAATAGGGTAATGGTAGATTATCTTTCTTTATTGAACTATCGAAATTCATATGTTATTTTGTTCCTTTTTAGTAATATTGCTTGTTTCTTCTGCAAATGTATCACTCAGATTTTCTCCTTAGTAAAATTGAATTGCAAATATTGTTTATTTTACATTTTGATTTTATTTAAACAATCAAAATATTGCTTACAAAAGTTACTTTGGTTTTGTTCTCTCTTTATTTAGCATTAAATAAATAATCAAAGCATGTTTCAGTAGCTTTGTTAGGGGGAATAAAAAACTTTATATATGCAGATGCACAAATAAATGCAAAATCTCATTTAGAGCATGACCAGTCAGATTCTGAAAATTCTTGAAACAGATTCCTCATTACAATCATATTGGCTTTATTGAACAAAACCCCTATATACATGCTACTATAAATGACACAAAAAAACCCTTTTTACATAGAACAAGCCACATTCAATCCACATAAACTTCATGATCCCTTAGCAAGCAACTTTAGATTCTGTCTAAGGGCTTACTTCATTGTCATGGAACACACATTAACAGGGAAACACTTCATTTCATGCTCAATAGTATCGGTACTCCAAATAGAATATCGATACTTCCCTTCTATGGTATCGATACCCCCTTCGGTACAGATACCATTTTGACATTCTGTAAATTTATTCAATGGAAATGGTATCGATACCATCCTCAACTACTCAGTACCGATACTCCATGCCCGGAATTACCATTTCCATTTCGAAATTTTACCAAAAACTTATTCCTACTTTTACCTCCTTCTTTATCTTACATTTTGGTCACTGACCCGATGATTTGTATGTTACAATGAATGTAGATTGTGAATAATTTACTGATTAGTATTTATTTTACAGTTCAAGTATTCATAAATTATTACGATCATTTCTTTGTAGATGGAACATAATTCTATGCATAAAACAATAGTGGGAGTTGCTGCTTCAGCATTGGCTTTTGGGGCTCTTTGGATTCACAGAATAAAAATCTAAAAAGCAAATAAGTCGTCAATGTCATGTGAATTGAGATGATGAAAGAGAAAATTACATCAATAATATTTTATATACAGGTGATCAAAATTGTATCGACATAATACGAATGCAACCACTTGCGTTCTTTAATTTGTGTGACATCCTTACTAGGAACAATTTTTTTTTTAACATATAATTGGTCATAATGTAAGATTTCGAGTGATTGGATCAAGATATTATACATCAATTGAGACAATTCACTGTTACTTTAGGATTGTGCTGAGGGCTATTCTGAAGCTATATAAATTAGCTATTAGGTTACCCGATGAGTCAACTATTCCTAAAATAATAAACAATTCAAAGTTTTATCCAATGTTAAGATGTGAACTTTAATTTGGTGTATTATTATTTATGACTTAGACAATATTTTAGCTCTAATGTGTTGTAGTATAGACTTAAGTATTTGTATTATTGATTTGATGTGTTATAGCACTAATTATGAATTAGACTATGTATTATTACGGTTGGATATTATTGTTGTTTTAATGTGATAAATCCTTTAATTATATATTTTGACACTATTATTATTAGTACAATGTTATGTAATATTGTTGTTTTAATTTGGTATACTATTAATTAAACATTCTTAGGATTTATAAACTTTTATAATAAATTTTTAATCAATTATTAATATTATCTAAAATACATATTTTTATAAAATATAATTATATATAAAAAATGAACCTTTAAAATTAATAAATGATTAAACATATCCAATATGTACACATTCTTCATTAAAAACAGATTCTGAAAACAGTTTATAGGAAAATTACCCAAACAATGTAAACATTTTACAATGTACCATCCAAACACTAGAAAATATTTTTTGGAAAATGATTTAGATTTCTATAAAACATTTTTCAGATTTCATTTTTCGAAAACTGTTTTAATGAAACAAACAGACCCTTAGTTTACACAAGAATATTTATTAAAGGTTTTAGGATTTTATTTAAGATTTAGAAATTAAAATTCAGATTTAAAATTTATAGTTTAGAATTTAGAATTTAAGTTTAAAATTTAAAATTATAAAAATTAATAATAAAGTTAAATACTATATGAGATAAATTTTATAATTTTACATGACATGTATTTCAAATAATAAAAAGTACAAACTAGATGATTTCAGTGGTTAAAAGTATAATTGTTATCTTTTGAGGTTTTAAGTTCGAGCATGCTATCTGCAAGAGTATCTAAGTATTCATTATTAAATAATTAAAAATCTTTCTAATAAATATTATATTATAGTCACTTCATAATAATAATAAAAGTAATTATTATTATTATGGCTGGGTCCAAAAACTATTGTATATTTTTAGATTTATTTGTATATTTAGAATTATTTGTATATTTAGAATTATTTGTGGTGAAAAAAGGTCAATCCAGGGGCATCACTGTCTGACAAATGCAGCACATAGGCCTCAAGTTGTCGAGATTCAGACTTCCCAACCCAAACATAAATGGCTGCATCCTTGTTCTAATTCTATAACGCACGCAATCAAACTCTACATGCAAGCCTCACACATCCCTATCCGTTATCATCACAATACTCCGAAGTTTTTTCTTTTTGACTAATTAATATATTTTTAAGGTAAACATCGTACCTTGAACTTATGTAAGATGACATAACATTAATATTTGACCACCTAATCAATTAATGAATCTCCGAATACTTCAAAGTTAAACATTAATAATAAATCTTTTTCTTAATTTCTATTCATTGTCATTCTTCATTCAACTAAGGTTGTAAATGAGTTAAGTCGAGCTCGATTCGACTAAAAAATCTAAAATAAATTTTAGCTAGGCTCTAAAACTAGAGTCTAAAATTTTTAAGTTTGACTCGAACTCAAAATCATAATTGAAACTCGAAAAAACTCGGAATAAAAAAAATCTTAAACTTAAATCTACTGAAGCTCAAACTCGAATTCAAACTTGAACATTAAGTACATGAAAATTTTATATAGTATTCTTTTAAAAAAAATCAACACATAAATGATTATATTATTAATAATTTAATTTATTTAAAAATAATTTTAATATATTATTTTTAGAGTTACTCGTGATCTTTTCGAGTCAATTATCAAGTAACTAGTTTCAGCTCATTAAGAACTCGAGTCGAAATCGAGCCCGAGTCAAGTTCATTCAAACCGAATATTTATCACGTTTTAATCGAGTTGATCTTGAATAGCTCATGATATGTTTTGTCTCATTTACGACTCTACATACAACTTACAAATCTCTTATTCTCGATAAATGATAATCAATTAACACTTCATATCGTATTTTAATATTTTTGAAATTTATATAAACAAAAGTCATAATGTAATGTTTGATATATATATTTTTAAAATGTTTAATGTGTTATTTGTATATTATTAAAATGCAAAAGAAAAACAAAGGGAAAAACAAAAAGAATACCACCATAGGAAATGCTTTATTATTCTTGAGGGGCATTTGATTCGCATAATATAAGATTACTTCTGGGAATAAGATTATTGGAATGTAATATTAATCTTAGAATGTTGTACTATTTTTTTTATTTAGTAGGAATATAAGATTATAATGTTCATTTAAATGAATAGAAGATTATTTGAATGCATATTTTTATCAAATTATACTTGTGATATACGTTATTTTCAACAAGTTAAACTTTTAATATTAAATTATAAATATTTGAATGAAAATTTATATAAATATTTTATATTCTATGAATAATTTTTATGATAATAATAATATTTTGTTAATTGTATTAATTTTAACTAATGTTCCAAAATCAAACGTGAGTATGTTATTTTGAGAAAGATTATATTTCTTGATAATTATTTTTTTCACGAATCATACATCTCTTACTGTAAATCATCATCGAGAAAAATGTAGGAAATATAATAATATTAAAATTATTTTTTAGCTTCATATTGGAGTAAAGTTAGTAGTAGTAAATGAGTTGATAAAAGCAAGGAGATCCGCTTTATCTTATCATATAACCATCATTGGCTAATAAGATTAGATACAACACAAATATTAACTTTAATTAATTGCAGGCAATGTTAGATCCCAAAATATTAATCATGTGCGATATGTGGTAATATTCTGACATTTTGAGATAAATTTTAGGGTAAACTCCAAGATTAATTATTTTCTATTTAGTTTTATACATTTCTTATTAAATTTAAAAAATAATATTTGATCACTTTCGATTTTTATTAACGTGTGATCATTTATCTGGTAGGCTTTTAAATGCTTAGTATCTAAATTTTAACTGTCGATAATGAAAAAAAATGAGAAAATTAAATAAAAGTGATAATGTATTAAATAAATAAAAATAAAACGATCAAATATTATTTTTTAAAATTTAGTGAAAATTTTATAAAATTAAAACAAAATGATTATTCTTGTAGTCTTATACTAAATTTTAACTGAAAAATGAGAAACCAAATGGTATCCTCCTCGGTCTTCTCGAAAGCAAATGTTATTTCATTACCAGTAAATCTGTTGTCTTGTTTTTGCAGACGAACGTGGAATTCAAATAATTTCACCTACGCAATAATTATTGAAGAAGAGAACAAAGTTTCGACTTGAATATCTAGGCTATTTCAGTAATCTCACAGCCTTTACACTTCCAAAAAAAATATCAACCTATTATCAAGGAACAGCTTAGAAATAATCTACATCCATCACTTCCCTCCAATAAAATATAGGACAAATTATACAAATGATCTCCCGACTATATGATATTATTTTCTTGAGTTCATCAACTATTAAAAATTATAAAATGATCATTCAATTGTAGAACACTACTTTGTTGAGTCTTCTGGCCAGGGGCGGAGTTATATTGGGGCCAGAGGGGCCCCGACCCTGTTAAAATTTAGTATATTCGATACAATTTTATTCTAATAGTATTTTAGTTTATGTAAAAATAAATATTTAAATTAAAAATATAAAAATTTATTAAATATTTAATTGAGTAGAGGCTGAACTAAAGAATGATAATAGCATGTTCTCAAATTTTTGGTCTAATAACAATTTAAGTCATTTTAAGTTTAAATATTAAACAAATTAAGCGGTGTCTTTTGAATTTTGAGTTTTATATATATATATATATATATATATATATATATATTAATACAATGTACTATATGTACAAAGACTCTTAACCATTTGACAATGAACGCTCGTACCTTTACATATGCAATGCTCAAATTTGAAACCTCAAGGATAACAACAATTCTTTAATCACTAAGGTCTCTTGGTTCACGTTGAATTTTGAGTATAAATATCTTATAAGTCATTTTATTTTTCTTAAATAGTCTAATGTTCTAACCCCTGCCAATATTTAATCCTGGCTCTGTCCCTGCTTCCGACTATTAAAAGTTATAAAATAATCACTCGAATATTCATATGTTCCAAACTCATCCTTTTCCATTAAAAAATTAACGATTGTCTGAGTTGAACATTAACCTAACCTGTTGGCTAATATATGATAAAATATTATCCCAAAACTGTTTGAACTACATTTTATTGATTGAATCTATGTTTATATTATATCGTCAAACCATTGCTTAAAATATTATGTAGTCAAGCTAGTGTTTAAAACAATGGTTGTGCCAATAAACATCATTAAAGTATGATTTTATCATATCATATTCAACATGTTAACGTCCAGCTCAGACGACCATAAATTTTTTAACAAAAAAAAGAATGAGTTTGAAACATATGAATAGTTAGGTTATCATTTCGTAACTTTTAATAGTCGAATGACTAAAAAAAATCATTCTATAATCAGAAGACTATTTTGTAATTTTTATAGTTGAGGGACTCAACAAAGTATCACTATAAAGTTGGGGACCATTTGTATATTTCACCCTAAAATAAAATGAAAAAAACAAACTTCAAAACCCAGATAACCAGGAAAAAGAAGAAGACAATAATTTAAATCCCAGAAAAATAAGAGACCACAAAACTATTGCTTCTATTCGTCCATTAAACATTAATCGGGAAACGCAGAAAAAAAAATCCATTTTCCGGTATTTTTTTTAGTTATATGTGATCATGACTTCACAGCCATGACGCAAACCCGATATTATCTAACTCGGAGCCCCGAACCCGAAAAGGAGAAAAGCAGAGGGGGAGGAGGGGGAACCGCCATGAGAGTAATAGTTCCTCTACAAGGCGTTGTTCAAGGAAGAGGAGGTCTAGTTTTAGGCTCCTTAATCCCTTGCGCGCTCTTTTACTTTCTCCAATTCTATTTGAAGAGAAACCGCGATGACACGAATGACCAGAACGAATCCAATTCCCCGCCCCAGAACCCAACGCCGTCGTCCGACCAGCTGACGGAGCTTCCTACGCTAACACGTAGTCTGTCTCGGGCTTTTCTGTCGCCGAGAAATCCAAGTGGACCTGTTCCGATTGCAGCTCGCGTTAGTGGGATTGTGAAGGGTGCGGATTCTCCATATTATATAGGATTGAGGCGGGTCAAGGAGGATCCTTATGATGAATTGGATAATCCGAATGGGGTCATCCAACTGGGTTTAGCAGAAAACAAGGTGGGTTCTTTTACTTCTTTCTTTTAGTTGTCAACATGCTTCGTGGTTCAGTACTTCAATTATTGATTGACTTTTTTTTCGTTTCTAGTTGTCGTTGGATTTGGTTAAGGACTGGCTAGCTGAGAATGCGAGCAAAGCGATATTGGGAAACGGAAAAGAGCTGAGCATTAGCGGCATTGCAACTTACCAGCCTTTTGATGGATCGATGGAGTTTAAAGTGGTAAAAATTGTGAAAATCTTTCCAACTCATCTATAAAAGTAACAATTATTCAGTTTTAGGTGGCTTGAAGATGTTATGTTGGGATTTAACTGTTATCGCACCCAGATTAACCGAGCTGCCATGGACCATGGTCATCAGTTCCTGATCTCTGTCAATAATGGTGGCACCAAATGGTTTAGCAGTCCTTTATATTTAGTTGTTTGGAATTGAACCTCCTTTGTCGAGTCTGGATAAGATATCTTATATATCCGATGCAGTCACGTTTTCGGTTGTGTTGTGTTTATCGCGAGTGCGGACATAATGGATGTTATTGCGGTCATTGCGATCATACAATAACGGTTTCGTACGACACCATTACTGCTATATAATGGTTATTATTCTGATAGCAGACTGCTATTTAAATCCCTGATTGTGAGAATTCAGTTGCTAACACCAAATATATAAATTTAATGTTGGAGACTACGAGAAGATTGTAATGTATGTTACTCAGATTTGGCTGTGATTGTCGGACACGGGTATGCGCGGAGTATAATTTTTTTTTCTTTTTTTCATGGATTTGAAGGATCTTTCGAGGTCATATCCACACACAACACAATAAAAATGGAGAAACACATGTGTTGAAGCAACATAGGTATATAAAAGGGGATTAATGGAGAAACACAATAAATCTACCTGCACTTGCTCTTTGTTCTTATTCAGTAACATATACATGTTGGTAGATAGAAGAATAACTCACTAAAAACATGTCCATGCACTGAGATATTGTAGTTTCAAGTTGAGTTCACCTCTTCAAACAAATGTTTTTTCCTTTTCCCAAAGTTTATTAAGCATTTTGATTACATGCATTGAATAATATGAAGAAATTAAATTTTTTGGTTGTATGTTACATGAGGAAAACACCTTTAACGGCACAATTAACCAGCTTAACTTGAAGAATTAAGTTGTCTGATATAGATTCAATTCTCAATCTACCCTTGTGTTTGACTTGTTATTACATTGCAGGCTGTGGCAGGATTCATGTCTCAAGTCATGGAGAAAGATGTTTCATTCAATCCTTCACAGATAGTGCTGACTGCTGGTGCAAACCCTGCAATTGAGATTCTTAGCTTCTGCTTGGCAGATACTGGAAATGCATTTCTTGTTCCAACACCGTGTTACCCCGGGTAATTTTTTTTCCACACTCTTCATTCTGGTAACCAGCTATATCTGTCAAGTAAGCTTTTGGATGAAATATGCAGTTTGGACAGGGATGTAAAATGGCGAACTGGGGTTGAAATAATCCATGTTCCTTGCCGAAGTGCTGACAACTTCAATTTAAGTATAGCTGCTCTTGATAGATCCTTCAACCAGGCAAAGACAAGAGGGCTGAAAGTGCGTGGGATTATAATATCGAACCCCTCAAATCCTGTTGGCAGTCTTCTAAGTCGGGAAACGCTTTACAGCCTGCTAGACTTTGCCAGAGAGAAGAACATCCATATTGTCTCTAACGAAATATTGGCTGGTTCTACTCATGAAAATGAAGAATTCATAAGCATGGCAGAAATCATTGAGCAGGAAGATATTGACAGGAAAAGAGTCCACATTGTGTATGGTTTGTCAAAATATCTTTCTCTTCCAGGCTTTCGGGTTGGTGTTATCTACTCTTTTAATGACGACGTTATGGCTGCTGCTAAAAAGTTGACAAGATTCTCGGCCATTTCAGCTCCAAGCCAACGTCTGCTTATTGCCATGCTATCTGATACGAGGTTCATTCAAACATTCATTACCACAAACAGGGAGAGGCTTCAAAGGATGTATGTTCAGCTTGTTGCAGGACTGGAAAAAATGGGCATAAAGTCCATAAAAAGCAGTGGGGGTTTCTACTGTTGGGCTGACATGAGCGGGCTAATCAGCTCTTACAGTGAGAAAGGAGAATTTGAGCTTTGGGATAGATTGCTGAATATAGGCAAGCTCAATGTAACTCCAGGATCCTGTTGTCATTGTATCGAACGGGGATGGTTCCGCTTCTGTTTTGCCACTTTGACAGAGAAAGATATCCCTGTTGTTATGGAAAGGATTCAGAAAGTTTTGAAACCTGTAAATTGAATAGTTGAAATGCTGTTGATTAATTCTGTCATTTTAGACAATCCCCAGATTTTTATTTATCTTCTTTCTGGTATGAAGCTCTTTTCTTTGAAATCTGATAGTTTCTTCATGTACAGAAAGGGAAATGCAAGATACAGTTAAAGAGATTGCAGAGAGGGCAAAGAACTGAATAGATGCATACACAAATGCTTTTTATTACATAAAAAATACATATAAATGAATACCTTTTTTTATTGCATAAAATTACAAATGAAGAAAACAATCTACTATGGTCAGCTCAATCAATACAAAAGAATTAATTTTTTCTACTTTTTGCCTCCATTTTTACCCTAACCAGCAACTGTCTCCTTTGCACAAGTTCTCTACATGGTCACCATGATTCAATGCCAGACCTGATGGACTCCAGAACTTGAACAACCTCAGCCATGCTAGGCCTTCTTGAAGCAACCTCTGATGTGCAAATCAACCCCAATTTCATAACCTGTATTAACTCATTTTCTGTGAAACCCCTCAATCTTCTATCGAAACAATCTGATGCAGAGCCCCTTTCCAACAATCCTCTAACATGTTCACACAAAACCACCACCTCATTTACAGTTGGACTCTCTACTGGTTTCCTCCCGGTTACCAGTTCTACAAGAATCACTCCAAAGCTGTACACATCACATTTCTCACTAAGTCTCAAACTTTGGGCCAACTCCGGTGCAACATATCCGACCGCGTTATGGAATTTAGTTAAACCATAGTTGTCCAAAATCGGAAGCAATCTTCCTAATCCGTAATCAGACAATTTGGCCTCATAGTTCTCATCTAAGAGTATGTTAGTTGATTTGATGTTGAGATGGAGAATTGGAGGTCTACAGTCATGGTGAAGGTAAGAAAGTCCTCTTGCAGTTCCAAGGGCAATATGGAACCTCCTAGACCAACTTAGTTCAGTATTACCAACGCCTGTACTGGTACCCGGGTAGTTCAGTCCATGAAGATTATCATAGAGATTCCAATTTGGAATGAATTCCGATAGAATCAACTGCATCGTTGACAACCAGTAATACCCTTGAAAAGCAACCAAGTTCGGATGTTTGATGTTACCTAGGCGTCCGATTTCTTGCTCAAATTCATCTTGGTTTCTAATTCTTCCCAGAGTCTCCAGCTTCTTCACTGCAATTGAGATTCCCCCTTCAAAGCTAGTTCTGTAGACAGTTCCGATTGAACCGCAACCTATTAGACTATCCTTGTTAAGCAAAGCTTTGGTGCCACTCTCCCAATCTTCATATTTAGATGGCAAACTTTTGCTAAAGAGGACCAACTTCCCAATTATAACATTTGAGTCTGATGAATCTGGCGGTGTGCTCTCAACAACCACTGTCACTTCCTCCTTTTTACTCCTACGTTCCCTGATGTTCATGATGGTCACCACACAAACCCCCGTAAGGATCACAGCAGCAGCAACGATGGCAATAACTGCAGAAACACTAAGGACTCTGGTTCTACCAGATGTGGGAGACCTGCCACTTAAGGAGCAGGATGTCAAAGGGAAACCACTGAGCCCAGGGTTGTTAAAAAATGCTGATGGACCAAAGGACTGGATGGTTTGAATGGTAGGAATGGTACCCGAGAGATTGTTGTAGGAAAGATTAAAATGCGTCAACATATTCAGATTCACAAGCGAAGAGGGGATTGACCCAGAAAGTGAATTCTGTGAGAAATCAAGAAATTGGAGTTTTGACAAGTTACCAATACTAGATGGAATACTTCCATTTAGCTGGTTTCCATGTAAGTCTAGGATTTCCAGTTGTGACATGTTGTAAATGGTATCAGGTATGTGTCCCTCTAGAGCATTCCCAGAAACATCCCTACAACATCATGTAAGTTTCGAACGATTAGTAAAATGCTATGCAGATGAAAATCTGAAAGATATCAAGATAGTGTTAATACTCACAGTTTGCGAAGAAACCTGCAGTTGCTTACATCTGCAGGAATCTCTCCATCAAGGTTGAGATTGTGCAAATCCAAGACTTGTAGCACCTCAATGCTACAAAATCCGGTTGGTATCGTCCCGCTTAGTGAATTATTAGCCAAGCTAATTGCCACAAGCCTTCCCAAATCCACAATATTAACCGGTATCGTCCCGTTTAGTCTGTTGAACCCCAAGTCCAGAACTTTAAGGCTTTTACAGATTGAGGTGCTTGTTGGGATCTCCCCATCCAAACTATTCCATGAAGCATCGATAAATTCCAATGTCTCGCTACAGGTTCGAATCGAAGGAATCTTACCAAAGAACCTGTTATGTGAAACATTGAAATAAGTGATGTTCTTAAATTCAATGACCCCTAATGGTGCCAACCCTGTAAAAGAATTTCTGCTAAGATCCAGATGTAGCAAGCTTTGGCATTTCGACATCTCTTCGACCACACTACCACTTAATGCATTGCTACCAACAGATACATACTTCAACACAGAGATTTCACAAATTCCAGAAGGCAATCCACCAGTAAGATTATTGAATGAGAAATCGAACCCTTCAAGCGTACTGCAATTCATAATGGATCCCGGAATGGAACCCGACAGCCTGTTATGTGAAAAAGAAACATATTTTGTTTTGTAACAATTCTTGAACAAAGCAAATGGGATGTCCCCAGAATAACCGTTCTTTGAAAGATCAAGAAACCTGATGTTAGGCAAATCACCAATGAAACCTGGTATGGGACCATACAATGCATTTGAACTCACATTAATCTTCCATAATGTTTGTAACAGAGAATACTCTGGGGGGATATTACCTGAAAATCTGTTGCCAAATAATGTCAAGACTCTGATGGAGCTTAAACCTGACAGTGAAGCTGAGAGTTGTCCACTGAGGCTAGTGTTCCACAAAACAATCTTGTCCACAAATCCCTCTGGATTGCAGAACACGCCGCTGAAATCTACACAAGGGTTACCACTTGGGACCCAGGAATGCAAGCTGTTGTAAGGATCATCAGTGATGTTACCTTTAAATTGGAGCAAGATTTCCTTCTCGGTTGCTGCTAAAGAAATGGTGAGGATTCTCGTCCCAAATGAAGCGAGAACCAGGAAGAGCAAAGCATGGGAAACAATGAATTGATGGATCCTTGTCATGGTCGAAACAAAAGCAGGAATACACTAAAATTTGAGCCTACCACTTTTGGCATTATTGAATTAGATTCAAGCCTATCCTTCTTTTCCAATTGCAAAGCTTGTTGTTTGCACTTGTAAAAATCTCGAGGACCAGAGACAAAACATCACGATCATGGTTAAACACCACCATTTTTTTCACTTCCTCCTATCAGACAAAATTCAACAAGCTTAAAAAGCAATAGACCCAGAAGTCAGAAACAAAGGTTTAATCTTTTTCCTTGGGGGTTTCAGCTAAAGGATCTCAAAATGTTGAAGCTTTTCCAGGTCTAGAAAAGAGAGAGTTACAAAGGGCAACAACAAATATGTAAATATTTATATCTATACGGTTGCCACCAACGGAAGCTGAACCACATGCATGTGCATTTCTTTGTGTCTCAAAGTTCTCGTCTTTTGATTACAATAAATTTGAAGACGGTATAAAGAAAAATTGAAAATCCCACAATGGTCTAGCTAGGTTTACTCACCGCCATGGAAGGAAGGGCAGGGCCTTGGCTTTGCGTGTGAAGTACAAGCATTTATTCTCTCTCACCAACCCATGCCTTCCATCGCCACCAAATTATTGGCAGAGGAATAAAATACAGGAAATTAAGCAAAACCCAAAATACAAGCTTGTCTTAAGAAGAAATGGCGATTTCTTTTCTTCTTCTTTTTTTGGCTTTCTGTTGACTGAGCTGTAATTTTATATATTGTTTATTATATCGAATTATCTTTGTATCCGTTCTGATTGAGACCTTGGAAGGACATATTGATTTATTTTTTTCAATTTTATAATCTAAATTTGATTTAAAAATTCACAAGTCGAATAGAGTGAAGTTGTTTAAGTTTTTATTTAATTTTAATTATAGATATGTATACTCTATCTATTAACCGTTGATATTAATATATTTGGACCCGATTACCTTAACGTATACCAACAACCTATTAGCATGGACCTTACAATATTGTCATCAGAATTTTACAATGGAAAAAAAATCTTAACAGTTGTTTATGATAGTAACCGTGTAAACTATACGTTTTGTTTTGTTTTAGTCACCAAACTATTTTTTTTAAAATCATAAAATAATGGTATGTCATCATTGAAAACCTTTAAGAAAATACCACGTCAATAATTCTATTAATTTTTTAACGATGAATGTCTAAAATGAAACTAAAACATAACGTTGAGTATAATTTTAAAAAAGATAATAGAATGACAAAACCGGAATAAAAGTGATAGTTGATGTACTATATGTGTAATTTTTCCTAGCAACATTTTAGTTGTGAACATTATAAATAATTTATCCTTTCTAATTTAGACGACTTTTGACTTGAAAAAAAAGTCTTTAGAGGAAGATCTTTCTAGACTTTAGTAAACTTTTCACAAACGGATCAAATTCAAGTACTAATCGTTGATGAAAAGAATTTTTTTGTAAACTTTCATTTTGAAGATTTTAATCAACAAAACAATTATTTATGAAAGAAATTTGGAATAAATATAACAACATATATTTTGTTATTAGTGCAAATATGATTGAGTTCGGTATTACCTTTGCTGTCCACTTCACTCTTGCTCAAATTTGACACGAAGAAGATGCTTGAACACGAGAGCTTCTTCCAACAACTTTATAGAAAATATTTTTATAATCAAATACCAAACTAGAATCTCAATTGAACCCACACATTAAACTATTAAAAAATATTACGAAAAATATAATATATTTATATTATAATAAAAAAAACATCTCAAAACTAATCTCATCATACCATCGTCATATGAGATTGGAGTATGAGAACGTCGAATATTAAGATGTATTTTCATTGATTTTTAGTAGATTTCGTGAAAAATCGATCGTTATTACTGCAAATAACAATCAATGATAGGTGATGAAATATTTTAACATTTAATGATAAAATCGATGTATGAACTAAAATTCACCCAAAAAAAATAATCAAATATTTTTTATTATAATAAAAAAATATTACGAAAAATATAATATATTTATATTATAATAAAAAAAACATCTCAAAACTAATCTCATCATACCATCGTCATATGAGATTGGAGTATGAGAACATCGAATATTAAGATGAACATCTCAAAACTAATCTCATCATACCATCGTCATATGAGATTGGAGTATGAGAACATCGAATATTAAGATGTATTTTCATTGATTTTTAGTAGATTTCGTGAAAAATCGATCGTTATTACTGCAAATAACAATCAATGATAGGTGATGAAATATTTTAACATTTAATGATAAAATCCATGTATGAACTAAAATTCACCCAAAAAAATAACCACAATATATTATTAATGATTTAACTGCCCAATACATACATTAAAATTAACATCACAGTTTATTCTACAATTAAAATATTTTAAAATTTAATGATAAAATTATATAAAACTTAATGACCTCATTACATTGATACAAGATTGTTTCTTATATATGTTTTTGCCATAAGCAAACTCGATATTGTTAGATATCTAAACATGTGACAAAATAATCTCTTGGTAAAAAAAGTATCTAAATTGAGCAAGCACATTTACTCGGATGATCAAATTGTTCATCTTTATTTCTTCCTCAAGAGTTCTTTCCCCTTCTCTCTAAATAAAATTAAAATTAGATTTAAAATTTGTTTAAAAAAACCCTTATAAATGTGTGTCATAGATATTAATGATAATAAAAATAGTTTTCAACATTAATGAATGTTGGTGAGAAAATTTGAAAGAATTTGAATCTACTTGTTTATAGCCAAAATAGATACAAACCCAACTAATCGTCAAGTTTGTATTTCTCTTGGATATATTTCATGTATTTAATGGGAAACTCCTAGCTGGCAAAACAATTTTTCTTTTACCAATTTTTGTTGTTTAGAACCATGAAATTTCTCTATGTTTTAGTTTATTTTTCTCTCTGATTACCATAAATCAATCAGAGGATTTAAATATTTCTTCAGTATTCAGGTATGCCAGCAAAGATGACAGAAGATGTATTAAAAGACAGAATACCAAACATCTGTGACATATTTATTTGAACTCTAAAAGGGCCCTTTCCCCATTTTATTTCGTTCTACTTTCGATTTCTAAGATTTCGTCTTGATTAAGGCAGATTGACTCAAGTAGTACATTTAATTTTGGTAATTTAGTCTCTTAACGATGATTTTTTGAATACACAAGAACTTAAACTCGAAATCTATTTAAACAATATCAAACTAATTACCAATTAAATTAACACGTTGGTAACTTTTTTTCCCATTCTTAATTGCAACTTTACTTGCTTTTTTGATGCGAGTTTTGGTACTTAGTTGGACTGCACTTGGACTTTAATCTTTGAGTTGTAATTCACTATGTTTGTTTAAAATAATTAAAATTTTACCCATAGATGTAATAATCATAAACTCTAAACGAGTGTACATCATACAAAAACTTAAAATCATGATATGTATATCTTGATAAATTTAAAGTTTGAATTTTAAAATCTACAATTTTCTTTTACTATTTTACATTGTGTTGGCTAGTAAAATAGTCAACAACCATAGATGGAGGTCGGATATTTTTTGGTGGTATGAGTCTAGTATTTTTGAGTGAAAGTTTGTACGTGTCTTTACTTTTTGTTGCATGGTTATTTACCGTGTACTGGATAAGAATTGATTAAGAATTGTTGTGGCGTTGATGTTGATTAAACGTCCTAAGAAGTGATAGTTTAAACTTAGTCATCAAAAGAGATCACATGTATCAATGCGTAATCGTTTAAGATCATATGCAAGAAATGCTCACGGAGCATTAAGTAATTGACACGTGATCGTCTCCAGTGATTTGTGAAATATGTTTTGCGCATACGAGAGTTCGCGTCAATATTACATCTACGTTCTTAGAGATTTGCACGAATGGTATATTCACAAGAATGGAGGCTCACATGTGGTACACATTGTAAATAAGAAAAAGAAAATGAATCTTACACTTCAAGTATACCGCATATATTATTGAGAAATTATTATCATAATATTTTGTGAAACTGCATTTTTATATTTAATTCTAAAAGTAATAATTTTTTTACTAACATTACTTTTTGCCTTAAATGTCCATTCTATTAGGTATTATATAATTTCTACTAGTTTAGATCATATTGCTTCCAAAATAAAAAAAGTTTTGTTCATATATATATATATATATCATTTCTTGTATTTTTTTTGTTGATATCCCAGTTTTAAGGTTTTGTCTTGATTAATCAAGACCAACCCCCGTCGCACACCTGATTTTGGTGTGCGAGTGTCCAACAGAGATTTTCCGCATACACAAAGAATCAAACTCAATACCTTATTTAAGCAATATCAAGTTGCTTACCACTTAAATCAACCCATGTTGGTATCATTTGATGTATTTTTAATTAGATAACTAATTGTTTGTAGTACAAATTTATTAAATATTTTAATAATTATGTATATATTTAAATAATATTTAATATATTTTTATTAATATTATATTTATAATATTTATAGGTTATATGGTGAGATTGAATGTTGCTTAGAGATTTTTAATTAGATAACTAATTGTTTGTAGTACAAATTTATTAAATATTTTAATAATAATGTATATATTTAAATAATATTTAATATATTAATATTTATTTAAATTTATAGGTTATATGGTGAGATTGAATGTTACTTAGAGTGAATGATTTAATGTTAATATTATTAAATTTATCTTAAAAAATATTTTTATTAAGCTAAATTTATGATCTACAATTTTTATCATTATTTTACTAATTTTAAATTTTATTATCATTATTAATAATATTTACTATAATTTATTTGACAAAATGTTAAAAGCAATAAAAATAGAAAAGACCAAAAAATAAATATTTAACAATTCACAAAAATGTTTTAAAGAGTAGTGAGAGTATGTAAGTATACAATATATATATATATATATTTCAAAATATTTAAATTATATTAAGAATAATTATACATTTAGTACTTCAACCATCATTTTTGTTTCATTTTGGTTGTTTAATTGTTTTTTAAAATCATATCTAAGTTATATGTTGATTTCATGTTGGGTTATCAACTATTAAAATGTTAACAAAGTTATGTGTTGATTTTATTTTTGGATTATCAACTATTAAAATGTTAACAAATCTATCAATATGATATTTTTAATTTTTTTCCAAATTTTTTTCTTGATAATGACGTGATATTACTGGGCAAAATGACTGAGTAAATGATTTGGGGGAAAATTCCCAATATAATCCAACGGGGGATTATTTCCTCATCTAGGGTGAATTGCACAGTACCAACCCAAAGACATCAGGTGTTTCATACGTCTTCAAATTAAATATGAAAACTCCACGACTGCATGACGTTTTCAAGTAAATGGAGAAGACCTAGGAGTACATGGCGTCTTCATACCAATAAGAAACCCTAGTTTAAGAAATAATATGGTGGATGTCTTGTATGGAAAAATCATTTTTCCCACAATTCTACATAGTCGAGGAAACCATAATTAATGATATGTCAACATCACAATTACTTTTTTAATAATGGATAATTAAAATAAAATCAAAACTAAATGATAGATATGATTTAAAAAAAAATTGAATTATTAAACAAAATAAAAATGATAGTTAAAATACTAAACATGTATAATTTAATCTTATGTTCCACCTATGATCTTTTATTATTACGTTCACCAAATAATATAATATTTTTAATTTTTCTTAATTCCTGTAAAATAAAATAAATATAATACAATATTTTTAATTCTTACATCCCCACCAAATAAACCAAAATATTATGATATTCTTAATAATTCCCAAAAATCATAATCCTACATTGATCAAGGATACAAACGCCCCCTTAAGGTCATGGATACAGAGTACAGTTGTCCCACCATTAATTAATAATGGAATTGCACTTAAAACCAGAAGAAGAGCCTCATTTCTTTATTTTGCATATGGCTCGCACCGGAGGTTAGAATATAGAAAAATGAAATGTAAAGAATAAGCTTTGCTCATGTGAAATCCAATACAATAATAAAGATTAATGAGCAGCCAGTCTGTTACAAAAGCAAACATTCTGAAGAATAAAATATCCAGCAAGTCAACACGAAAACGAAGTTGAATCATGTACATAATAATAATGTCAACAATATTGCCTTGGTCCACTTTCATAGAGACAAATTCCATTCATATACAAATCTCAATTACGTGTGAGAGAGAGGAAGACAAGATTAAAGTCTTATAAAAATGGAAGAATGAAACATCCTTTTCAGTAAGATGTTAGAATTTTGTCTTGGTTTGGTTTTCCCGCGTCACATTTCCTCATACGGATGAAGTAGTTCAATAAATTATTTACCTCATCCAGCCCTACACATGAGATTGATGTCCTCTTAAACCAAGCTACAGCTTACAGCAATACCAATTCTTCACCCTGCAACACTTTTAGTTTCCTTTTAGCATAAACCGTGAAAACAATTGCTGTCACCACTGTTAAAAGGAAACCACCAACATTTAACAATATCTGCGGAGCCGATAGGCTGTGTCGCTCTTGTGAAGCATCTGCCAACGTCTGTATGAGGATACCTCTGTGATAATCAAATATGCAAATAAGTTCACAACGCATACAAGTTATATGCATTTACTCTGCAGGTTTCCTATAACTAGCATCTAAAAGATGACATGTTCAGGTTTAATTTTCTTAAGCCAATAACTTATGAACCTGTAACTCCCAAAAAATACAGCTCATGCACTTAGTGTGCATCATTTATTTATCTGACTGAATCAGGTAATGATCTAAGCTGGTAAGGTATGCTTATGAACCATAGACATGCGCACACACTATACGTTGTAATAATCAATTATCACATTCAAGTAACACATTCGTAAATACAAGCTCAAGATTAAATACACAGAAAAAGGGGATGGAGAGAGAGATAGACTTTACGTGTATATTGCAACGAAAATTTCTGGCACCATTCCTACTAAAGATCCCAAGATGTAAGGACCGTACTTAACATGTGTTGCCACCGCACAGTAGTTATATATTATATATGGGAATGGAGAGATCCTGATTAATGTTACAACTTTAAACTGATGAAACCAATTTCCTTCTCCAGCTGCTCTCAGAATGGCAGCTTTCTTGGGACATTTTTCTAACCAACCCTGCATAAAAAGAGAGAAGAGTTGAAAACTATTGCAAATAACAACAATGGGAAAGATACGCAAACCAACACTGGCAGAATCAGACAGGTAGTAAAATTTCAGTGAATGAAGGGTGAAAAATAAAGATGAGGCACGCACTTGAATTCTGTGAAGGAAAAGAGAGCCAATAAAGAATGGAAGTGATACCCCCACAGCAGCTGCTGATATGATTAGTAGAAATCCAAAACCATAACCAAAAGTCATCCCTGCCACCCAGATAGATGGTGTAGAAGGTAGGAGTATTGTAGGGAACAATGCCACAGAAGCAAAGACTAGAACTGCCAGCACTGGAGTGCTAAAGGTTGTCATCTCCCAATTTATAATAGGCATTAGCTCCTGCAGTCATCATCTCATCAAGTTAGTAAAATTAGAGAGTGGAAAGATATCTTACAAGAGATAAATGAACAAATCCCTACTGGTCTACGGAAGGAAATTATGGTTTTTAACCTTAAGTTTGCAAGATCATGGAAAATATATAAAAACTACCACAAAAATAAACAATTTTGTGTGATCACTGCACGGTCTGCATCCCAGAAACGAATCGAACCTAAGTGGCCATTCAATATGTTTCTTAACTAGCTTGGACCAATGAAGTTGCAAGGTTGTGGTTGCACAACTTACACGGATATTCCAGAAAGTGAAAGTTAATGCTTATTCCAGTAGAGATTAATAGACCAAAAGCGCCAGTTTTGGACAAAAACATAGAACATAAAAATTCTTCACCATTTATCAAACCATGCTCATTTTCACATAAAGAATTACTAGGGTATTTTGTAGACCTTTCGAAAGTAAATAAAAAAATGAACATAGAAAGCATAATATCGTGGCAAGAAGGAATGTTTAGGGAGAGATATGGATAGATATAGAATCAGAGAATGTACAGCTCTTTGTCAGCAAGAAGTGAAATACATAACATGAAATTCAAAGACAATAAGTCAAGCTTGCTGTTGGGGGGAAAAAATGAGTTCCCTGCCTATAATCATCACGGAGGTGATGAAATTTTCTAACTTAAAGATAAAAGCATGGTCATCAATACATTCTGACTAAATAGTGTGCTTGTCCAATAATAACATCAAGTGAACCAAGGAGATAGTTTCAGTCTATTTTAAGAACATAGTTTCAGTATATTTTAAGAACAAACCGACAATGCTCTCCAATAATATACTGATAGAACACATTATTAGATAATATGCAATAATCGCAGAATAATATCACAACCATTAACCCCATATCAGTACTCAAAATCAAAGAGAATGCAATTAGGAAATTGATCAAGGTTGCAAAACCCAAGTTGAAAACAGGAAAGAAACCCATTCTTCAATCGACAGTTCAGTACATGCAAGCACTAAAACCCACAAAAAGAATCCAAAATTCAACAACAAAAAAAGCAACCCCTATCCCCTAAACTCAAAATTAAGAATCTACATAGATCAGAAGACACTCAAAACAAATAACGAGAAAACACAATTAGTTAAACAAGGGAATGTTAATTGCAAATATAAAAATGATCCAAAAGAGCAATAAATTATGGGGGGAAACCTTATCCATTAAAAAGGGACCAACCCATTTGAAGAAAACAGCAGCCAATAACCCTATAAATGTAAACAGAATCCCCGACTTGATCCAAAACCAAATAGACCTTCCCCGTAAAGAACAAAAGCCTGGCTCCTGCACAGACAAATCCCTCTCTCCTGCTTCACATTCTTCTAATAATCGTTGTCTCAAAGTTTCCCCTTTTCCGTTAACACCATCGTCGCCCTCAACTCTTAGTTTCAGCTCTGGCACCACCTCTCCCCCCTCAATATTAATAGTATCATCATAAAAAGTCATTGGATTTCAGAGCAAGAACTCTAATTTCCTGTTTGTTTCCTGAGAAAATAAGAGAAGGAAAATGTCGCAAGCAAAGAAGAGGATCAGCTAAGCAAAGCAAGCAAACCTAAAGAAAAATAATAAGAATTTAAAAAAGAAAACCGATTGGAGCAGTTAAGCAAGGCAAGCAAACCTATTTATTTCCTTTTAGGTTAAAGTGAGGATTGATTGTAATTTACGATCTGCCGTTGCCGCATCAACGGCGTCGCATCAACGGTTTTAGAAGGACACGTTGCAAACACGGCATGACACTTGGGAAACTGAGTTTTCCACCGAGTTGAGGCTTGGGATTGTGAATTGGGTGATTATGGAGCGAGTCGGTTGTGAATTTGACGGTACTGGATTCGTGTTAATTAAAAAATTGTATTATTTTATGCGATTTGTTGTTTGTTAAACTTGTAAAAGTTTTAGTCGATTTAGGTCTGTTAAAAATATTTGTTATTTTAATTCGTTAAATTCGTTAAAATTTTTTGGTAGAGTAATTAAGGTTTGATTTTTTGGTGTAATAAATTTGTTACACATATTTAAGATCGTTAGATGAGTAAAAATAGATAGTTGAGATTAACTCTTTTTTTAATGAATATTTTTTCATTTCTTACTGTTAATTTTAGTCGTTTGTTTTCACTCATCCAACAACTCTAAATATACGTAAAATTAAAAAAAAGGTTATATTATGCAATATGATCTTATCCTTCCTTATTATCAATTAGCAAATTAATAATTATTATTTAGACTTTTTTAATGCAATAATTTTTTAAGGTAACTACTATAAGATTTAAAAATATTAATGATTTGTTCACGAATTTATTGAGTTAAGTTAGACTTTACTCGACTTAAGTCGTTAAGGTTTCGAGTTGAGTTCGAATTCAAGTCAAATCAATTCGAATCAAATATTGACTGAATTTTAATTAAATCAAATTTGAGCAGCTCATGATCTTTTTAACTCATTAATCACACCTAGTTACGAAACGTGGACACCAAGTTTACATATTATTATTAATATTTATATTATATTATTTTATTAATTTATTTGTAAGAATTTAAGTTATATAACTTATTAAAAATATAAAATCCAAAAGTAAACTTTAGTAAATTATTTTTTATGATGTATTTATTTTAATATTAATTTAAAAAATTTATAAGAAGATCTATAAAACATTTTATATTGCAATATTTAATTTTAAAAAAAAACTGTATTAACATTTTATTAATGTAATTAATATATTAAACAATTTTTAAAAATAAAGTTATACATGTAAATATATTGCATTTATCTTTAAACCTAATGCTAAAAATAGTCCCTCAACATTTATTAAAATGGTCATTTTTGTCTCTATTCTTTTTTTAAGCATTTTGGGCCACAACTTTCACTTTGGGACAAAAAGTTTCCTATGTAGATGAAACTTATTAGTTAACACACTGTTAACGCTCCAAATAGGAGCATTTTTTAACCTAAAATGAAATGTTGTGGGTTAAAATGCCAGAAAAAAAAAGAATAAGGGGTAAAGTGATTATTTTATCAAATGTTATAGGTCTTCTTGCCCTAAAAAAACATTGGGGTCAAAATGTTCCAAAAAAATAGAATATAGAGCAAAACGACCATTTTAATAAACATTTGGGGGCTAAATTTAATATTATGATTTATTATTATCATAGTATATAATATAATTAAGTTAATTTTTTAGTGATTGAAAATAATTGTTTAGGTTATTTAAAAATATTTAAAGTAGAAAATTCAAACTTAAATTATGATCAAACTTTTTAACAAGTGTCAACAATAATGTTTCTTTTCTAACTTCTGGATCGAGTTTTAACATGTTCATTATTTAACTAAATTCTTGAATTGACTGTCCAGCTCAGTTGGTAGAGCGTAAGGCTCTTAATCTTGTGATCGTGGGATCGAGTCCCATGGTAGGCAATTTATAATTTTGACTGTCGGAGGTCTTTCACGGAAGCTGCTCTCAATCTAGCATTGGGGACACAGCCTACTACCCTACATCTTCCTTACCCATTACACCATTAGATATAGGAATAGGGTTAGCTAATTATTATTTAACTAAATTATTGTGATTTTGAATAACTTATGGCAACTTCATTGTGGTAAAGCTTGCAAGTTAAACTCTCGTATAAAAATAAATGTCAAACTCTAATCGAGCTTACAATATCTTAATCAAAAAAATTTAATTAAATTTACATTATGAGCTATATATTTAAATAACATGTTTAAAAAACAATATTTGAGACATCGTAAATACAATATTTATAAATCTCATTAAATATTAAATCATTATTTTAAATATGGTGTAACATCATTAAAATATTAAACTAATACGAAATAAAAAGAATATAACTTAACAAAAAAATTGTCCAAACTATATCTCTTTTCGTCTAAAACCTTGAATTTTGCCTTCTCAATAACAATACAGATACTCTTTGTACAATATCAATACCTAAACCTGGAATTTTCCTATTTATCACGGGAAAATCACTCCTACACACCCCAAAAGTCACCCTAAGATCCTAAGGCATTATTTAAAGTTTATGCAAACTTTATGAGGTTATAGTATATCATTTACATGCACGAATAACGTCAAAACCCCTCATATTTCTTGTATGAACACAAATGTACCTATTATACCCCATGCATCATAGAAGCAAACAAGCTATAGATGAGTTTGAGGTGTGTTACATTACTCCCAAGCTGCTGGAAATCACTCATAGCTTACCTAAGCATAAGCTTCTCCTTATTCTTGTCTTTGAAGTTTTCACCCATTTCTTTCACTAATCACTTAACAAGGAATGAGTTACTAATTCATCTAATAACTAAAAAGGAAGTTAGAGAAGTTTCTTACATGCTAAAACCCATCCAAAATAAGCTGATTACACAAGGTTTTTAAAATTCCTCTAAACCCTCAACCATGGCCACTATAGCCAAACCTTGAGAATAAGAACTTGAATGAAAGTTGTAGCGATGTAGATCATGGATCTTACTTTATAAAATTCAGCCTAAGGACGATGGACAATAAAGCTCTCACTCTTAGTGCATTCAAATTTGAGTGAAAAGAGGGAGATGAAGAAGAGGAGCTTCTCCTTATTCTTGTCTTTGAAGTTATCACCCATTTCTTTCACTAATAACTTAACAAGGAACGAGTTACTAATTCATCCAATAACTAAAAAGGAAGTTAGAGAAGTTTCTTACATGCTAAAACCCATCCAAAATAAGCTGATTACACAAGGTTTTTAAAATTCCTCTAAACCCTTAACCATGGCCACTATAGCCAAACCTTGAGAATAAGAACTTGAATGAAAGTTGTAGCGATGTAGATCATGGATCTTACTTTATAAAATTCAAACTAAGGACGATGGAAAATAAAGCTCTCACTTTTAGTGCCTTCAAATTTGAGTGAAAAGAGGGAGATGAAGAAGAGGAGCTTCTCCTTATTCTTGTCTTTGAAGTTTTCACCCATTTCTTTCACTAATCACTTAACAAGGAACGAGTTACTAATTCATCTAATAACTAAAAAGGAAGTTAGAGAAGTTTCTTACATGCTAAAACCCATCCAAAATAAGCTGATTACACAGGGTTTTTAAAATTCCTCTAAACCCTCAACCATGGCCACTATAGCCAAACCTTAGGAATAAGAACTTGAATGAAAGTTGTAGCGATGTAGATCATGGATCTTACTTTATAAAATTCAGACTAAGGACGATGGACAATAAAGCTCTCACTTTTAGTGCCTTCAAACTTGAGTGAAAAGAGGGAGATGAAGAAGAGGAGCTTCTCCTTATTCTTGTCTTTGAAGTTTCCACCCATTTCTTTCACTAATCACTTAACAAGGAATGAGTTACTAATTCATCTAATAACTAAAACGGAAGTTAGAGAAGTTTCTTACATGCTAAAACCCATCCAAAATAAGCTGATTACACAGGGTTTTTAAAATTCCTCTAAACCCTCAACCATGGCCACTATAGCCAAACCTTGAGAATAAGAACTTGAATGAAAGTTGTAGCGATGTAGATCATGGATCTTACTTTATAAAATTCAGACTAAGGACGATGGACAATAAAGCTCTCACTTTTAGTGCCTTCAAACTTGAGTGAAAAGAGGGAGATGAAGAAGATGAGCTTCTCCTTATTCTTGTCTTTGAAGTTTTCACCCATTTCTTTCACTAATCACTTAACAAGGAATGAGTTACTAATTCATCTAACAACTAAAAAGGAAGTTAGAGAAGTTTCTTACATGCTAAAACCCATCCAAAATAAGCTGATTACACAGGGTTTTTAAAATTCCTCTAAACCCTCAACCATGGCCACTATAGCCAAACCTTGAGAATAAGAACTTGAATGAAAGTTGTAGCGATGTAGATCATGGATCTTACTTTAAAAAATTCATACTAAGGACGATGGACAATAAAGCTCTCACTTTTAGTGCCTTCAAACTTGAGTGAAAAGAGGGAGATGAAGAAGAGGAGCTTCTCCTTATTCTTGTCTTTAAAGTTTTCACCCATTTCTTTCACTAATCACTTAACAAGGAATGAGTTACTAATTCATCTAATAACTAAAAAGGAAGTTAGAGAAGTTTCTTACATGCTAAAACCCATCCAAAATAAGCTGATTACACAGGGTTTTTAAAATTCCTCTAAACCCTCAACCATGGCCACTATAGCCAAACCTTGAGAATAAGAACTTGAATGAAAGTTGTAGCGATGTAGATCATGAATCTTACTTTATAAAATTCAGACTAAGGACGATGGACAATAAAGCTCTCACTTTTAGTGCCTTCAAACTTGAGTGAAAAGAGGGAGATGAAGAAGAGGAGCTTCTCCTTGTTCTTGTCTTTGAAGTTTTCACCCATTTCTTTCACTAATCACTTAACAAGGAATGAGTTACTAATTCATCTAATAACTAAAAAGGAAGTTAGAGAAGTTTCTTACATGCTAAAACCCATCCAAAATAAGCTGATTATACATGGTTTTTAAAATTCTTCTAAACCCTCAACCATGGCCACTATAGCCAAACCTTGAGAATAAGAACTTGAATGAAAGTTGTAGCGATGTAGATCATGGATCTTACTTTAAAAAATTCATATTAAGGACGATGGAC